TTTTTTTTTTCCCGTTAAAGGGGTTTTTTGGGGAGTTTTTCCTGATCAGCTGTGAGGGTCCTAAGGACAGAGAGATGTTGTATGCTGTAAAGCCCTGTGAGGCAAATTGTGATTTGTGATATTGGGCTTTATAAATAAAATTGATTGATTGAAATTGAGCTGTTCTGTTAGCTGTTGTGTTAGCAGTCATGTTAGCTGTTCTTTTAGCTGTTCTGTTAGCAGTCATGTTAGCTGTTCTTTTAGCTGTCCTGTTAGCTGTCCTGTTAGCTGTCATGTTAGCTGTTCTTTTAGCTGTGCTGTTAGCTGTTCTGTTAGCTGTCCTGTTAGCTGTTCTTTTAGCTGTCCTGTTAGCTGTTCTGTTACCTGTCCTATTAGCTGTTCTGTTAGCCTAGTGCTAACGTAAGTATTTAATCTGGTCAAGTTGTGTGTAACTACCGGACAGAGCTACCGTTAGCATGCTAACATCATGTTCAGACTGAGGAGCAGCTTTAAAGAGCTGAAACATGTTTGTCGTCTCTGACGTCAGTTTAATAATGATTTTACTTTAAATGACACAACTCTCTGTCTGATCAGATTTAGCTCCTCCCACTGATGACAACAGTGATTATAGCCCCGCCCACAGCTCCAACATGGCTGACAGGAAGCTCTCAGGTTTACCTGCCCCCTCCCTGTCTTCACCCTGTCATCAGAACGGCAGGATTGGGGGGATGACATCCAAAGGCTCCCCACCCCCCCACAGTAATGGCTGTTTGGAGGCGGGACCAGGATGCCTCAGTACCAGTAACACCAGTGCTGTTTCCCAGCGTCCCCCCACACCCAGCAACAGGATCTCAGCCTCCACCTCACCCCTCAGGACCCTCGCAGGTCTTGTGACTCCTGTGTCAAGTCCTGGTGCTGAAGGTGGCTCCACTCGGCCCCGGGGTCAGAGCCTTGGCTCCACCCTGAGTCCCAGGACCAGAACCATGACCTCCAGAAACAAGGTAACTGTCACCTGTCAGAGAGATGAACTCTAGAGATCAGAACGTGATGTGATGTTTAATGTGATCACATGACGTAACGACTCACACCTGGTCCCCGTGTTGTTGCTGTAGTGCAGGAGCAGCCAACAGGAGGAGCCAGAGGCCTTGTTGGACCTGATCCTGGAGTGTCAGGGTCAGAGACTGGAGGACCAGAGAGCCAGCCTCAGTCTGTTACCTGACCCAGGTCCAGCTGCTCTGTGTGGGGCCTGCAGCCCCGACCAGACCTCCTTACCTGGTCTGGACTTTTACTACATGCTCATACACTACCAGGTACGTCACCTGGAGACACTCTGAACCAGTGGGGACAGGGAGGGGGGACGATGATGAGACGAGGTGATAGTTTGTCTCCATCTGATCCTGATGAGTTTTTCATCTGGACTTCAGCTCACCATGTGAGGACAGTACAGACTGTCAGTCATGGACAGGGTGTGGAGAGCCTGAAACAAGGGCTTTATAAACAAACATTCAGGTGTCAACATGAAGACCCTAGATACCTGTACCCTGGAATACAGCATACAGCCAGCACTGGGTACGGGGTACAGGCAGAAACAAGATGAAGGGTACAGGCAGAAACCAGATGAAGGGTACAGGCAGAAACAAGATGAAGGGTACAGGCAGAGACAAGATGAAGGGTACAGGCAGATACAAGATGAAGGTTACAGGCAGAAACAAGATGAAGGTTACAGGCAGATACAAGATGAAGGGTACAGGCAGAAACCAGATGAAGGGTACAGGCAGAAACAAGATGAAGGGTACAGGCAGAAACAGTCTGGTAACATTGTCCATCTGATGGATGGTGGATTGCCCAGTGTACTGGTTTAACTGGTTCCAGGTTTAAAGAGGGGGGCAAAGGACAGGTGGCAGGGCTCGACAGTGCGAGCGTTTCACTCGCATTTGTGACTAAAAATAGGTGTGTGCGAACTGTAAAAAATATTTAGGGGCACGTGTGAAAAAAATAAAAAAAATAAAAAAAATAAATAAAATAAAAAAAATCAGCCGAAGCAGCCTGTATTTTTGTCAATAAAAAAATATGATAATCTAACCGCAAATGTTGGAGGAACTCCAGCCGCCTTCCCTCTTCCCTCTTCCCAGTGTAACACGGTTAAGAAACACACCGCCCGCGGAAGCGCCGCAAATAGCCTCGAAGCGCCGAGAAGTGAAGCCAGTTTCCTTTCGGCGCCCATGTTAACCGATTGTGTCATCCACACCGGCCGCAGCGCGCAGCTTCGCCGCCGGCCCTGCAGCCGGCCCTGCAGCGATCATTTCGGCGCCTGGTCTATTTTCTGCGCGAGCCGCGAGCTAATGTGTCAAGCTGGGTAGTTACCCATGATGGAAAAAGAGCCCCAAATGTGACGGAGACAACAGCTGGGAGCAGAACCGCTTGTCGACCAGCGTGGAGAAATGCACGTCTAATGTGAACGGAAGTGCTCTGGCTCGCTGGAGAATTTCGGTGCGCTGCGCTTCGCAGGCAGGGCAGGCCCTGGCGTTATGGCCGGTTTTCCAAGCCACTGTCGGCACAGTGAATAGGCCTATAGTCCCACTGTCGGCAGCGTGGAAATAAGTGGCGGCGGGCCTCCAGCGAGGCCTGCTCCGTTCTCCCCGCAGTTAGGGACCGTTCGCCACGGTACCGCTGCTGGGCAGAGTTTCAGAGGACCTGGAGAATGTTTTAGGATAGTAATAACATCAGTGTTTCCACTACATTTATTTAGCAGCGGCGTGTCGCCACTGATAAATTATTGCCGTCGCTGCTGCTCCTTCAAAACATTTTTGCAAATGCACCACCACTCTGAGACATCTGTGCACTTGCACAGCGCAGCAGCCAGTATAGTGAGGAGAACAGCAGTGAGGGGAGTGGGGGAAGGCTCCTATTTAGGGATGCACCGAATATATTCGGCTGAATATTGCAAAAAAAAAAAACCACACACATTCGGTATTCGGTGGAATAAGTGAAAAGCAAGGCCGAATAATAGCAGCGTGTTTTGATAACGCAATCAAACAGCGTGCGGTGACGGACAGAGTAAAATGTCGGCAGTGTGGCAATAAACAGTAGCGGCGAATCCCACCGGTTGTGGGTTGAACGGGGGTCACAGACACGGACAGGAACACGTATTCCTGTCAAATATGGCGGCGCATTACAACGGCTTACCGGCGAAGAAGTCCGGCTCCAGGTGAATAACTTGTTGTCTTGACTGCCCAAAAGTACCTGAACAGCTGAGCCATGGTGGCATGTGGCATATCAGAGGAGAAACTTTAGGGACTGTTCGTTACTTATGAAGGGACTGTCAGTGTTATGTGCCAGACAAGGAAGCCAGGACCCAGCTGCAGAGTAAGTTCAAAAAACAGTTTATTTACAAAGTAGAAACAAAAAATCAGTTCACAGAAAAAATATGAGCAAACAAAGTATCAACCAAAACTCTTTCTGAGGGAAAAGTAACAACAGAAAAGGCTAAACTGAAAATCACCATTAACATGGGAAAAACGCAAGAACAAAAGTGCAACAAAAAGAGTGACAAGGCACAAAAACTCACTAAACCTGGAGACCAAACACTGAGCATAAACACGTGGCGAGAGGCAGGAGATCACAGAGAGCATAAGCGTAATACTAGAGCAAAGAGAATAATCCCGCATAGGAGACAAAGAGAGTGTGGCTTAAGAAGCCGGCTAATTAGGCAGAACGAGCTGCAGGTGTGCCGGGAGCCCAGTGCTCCCGGAGATCACCCTGCCCCTTGGCACTCATTCTGCAGGGAGAGGGAGAGAAGGATCAGATAGCAGCAAACACAGTTTCACAGAAAATCAGGACCACAACAGTACCCCGCCCCCTCAAAGGACGCCACCTGGCGTCCTACCTGGCTTACCCGGAAACCTGTTGTAGAAATCCCACAGCAATTGTGGGTCGAGGATGAGGGAGCGCCCAATCCTCGGGTCTGTACCCCTCCCAATCGACCAGATACTGGTAGCCCCTACCCTGTCTGCGCACGTCCAAGATCCGGTCGACGGTGTAGGCCGGATGGCCGTCAATGAGACGTGGGGGAGGTGGTGGGGGTGCAGGGGACTGGAGGGGGCTCTCCGTGACTGGCTTGAGGAGGGAGACGTGGAACACTGGGTGGACGTTTAGGGAGGCGGAGGTGGACAGCACTGGGGTTTATGATTTTCTCCACTGTGTAGGGCCCAATGTACCTGGGGGAGAGTTTTCGGGATTCAGTCTGGAGGGGAAGGTCTCGGGAGGAAAGCCACACTTGCTGGCCCACCTGGTAGTTGGGCACGGTAACCCGACGTCGGTCCGCTAGGTGTTGGTTGCGCTCAGCCGTTCTCCCTAACGCTGCTCTGGTTTCCCGCTCGGAAACCAGGGGGGCTGGTAGCCGGTGTTGATCATGAAGGGCGACAAGCCGGTGGCTGAGCTGACGAGGGAGGACGGGAGGCGGGAGGCAACGCAGCGCAGGGAGGACTCCAGGCTCTGGTTAGCCTGTTCAGTCTGCCCATTGGACTGTGGGTGATAGCCGGAAGAGAGGCTGGAGGAGGTTCCCAGGGCCCAACAGAAAGCCTTCCACACCTGCGAGGTGAACTGAGGTCCGCGGTCCGACACGATGTCCTGGGGGATTCCATGCAACCTTAAGACATGTGTGACTAACAAGTTAGCGGTTTCCAAGGCGGTGGGGAGTTTAGGGAGGGGGACAAAATGTACCGCCTTGGAGAAATGGTCAACCACTGTAAGTATGGTGTCGTTACCTTCGGAGGGGGGCAGTCCGGTAACGAAGTCCACTGCGATGTGTGACCAGGGACGAGGAGGGATGGGCAAGGGTTGCAGGAGACCCGCCGGGGGTCAGTGCGAGGGCTTGCTGTGCGCGCACACTGTGCACGCAGCAATGAAGACCTGGACATCAGAAGCCATGGACGGCCACCAGAAACGCTGCTGGATGAGGGCCAGAGTGCGGTGGACCCCTGGATGGCAGGCTATCTTGGACATGTGCCCCCAGGAGAGCACTGATGACCTGGCAGACTGTGGCACGAACAACCAACCCGGTGGACATCCGTCAGGAAGCGTCTGTCCCTGAAGGGCTTCCTGAACTTCCTGTTCGACTCGCCAGTGGACCTCCCCCAGCACACACTTGGGATCCAGGATGGTCTCCTTAGAGGGCTCCCTCCCCTCCAGGGCGAACTGACGGGAGAGTGCGTCCGGCTTGATGTTCCGAGACCCAGGGCGGTAGGTGATCGTGAACTGGAACCTGCCCAGGAACAGGGCCCAGCAGGCTTGCCGTGAGTTCAGGCAGCAGGCAGTGCGGAGGTAGGCGAGGTTTTTGTGATCTGTCCATACAATGAAGGGTTGAGCAGCCCCCTCCAGCCAGTGTCGCCATTCCTGCAATGCCAGCACCACCGCCAGGAGTTCTCAGTTCCCCACGTCGTAGTTGCGTTCAGCGGGAGTGAGGTGGCGTGAGAAGAAGGCGCAGGGGTGGAGCTTGTTGTCTGAGGGTAGGCGTTGGGAGAGGACGGCCCCGACCCCGGAGTCCGAGGCATCAACCTCGACCACGAATTGCCGCTCAGGATCTGGGTGCACAAGAACAGGGGCATTAACAAACACGTTCTTAAGTTTCTCAAAAGCAGACTGTTCAACAGGAGACCAGGCAAAACTGAGTTTGGATGACGTGAGGCAAGTGAGTGGGGCCGCCAGGCGGCTGTAGTTCCTTACGAATCTGCGGTAGAAATTTGCAAACCCCAGGAAGCGCTGCAACTGCTTGCGGGTGGTGGGAGCTGGCCAGTCCTTCACGGCCTCCACCTTGGAGGGATCTGCCTGCAGCTGCCCCCTCTCCACCACAAAACCCAGAAAACTTACAGATGGTACATGAAATACACACTTTTCTGCTTTGACATACAACTTGTTTTCTAACAATCTTTTCAAAACATCTCGTACATGGGACACGTGTTCTTCCATAGAGCTTGACAAAATCAGGATATCGTCTAAGTACACAAAAACAGTTTTGTTTAGCAGATCTCGTAGTACATTGTTAACCAGGCATTGGAAAATGGCAGGAGCATTTGTGAGTCCGAAAGGCATGACTAGGTATTCAAAGTGACCTAAGTGGGTGTTAAATGCTGTTTTCCATTCATCCCCTTCTCTAATCCTGATGAGGTGATAGGCGTTTCTGAGATCCAGTTTGGAGAAGACGCAGGCGGTGTGTAGGGGGCTGAAGGCGGAGTCAATCAGGGGAAGTGGATACTTGTTTTTGACTGTGATTTCGTTTAGACCAGTGTAATCTATGCATGGACGCAGGGAT